GAGGCCAAGGCAGAAAAATCACTTGAGGCCAGGAGTTCAAGACCAGCTTAGGCAGTAAAGTGAAGGCCCATCTCTATTTTTTTTTTTTTTTTTTTTTCCTGAGACAGGGTCTTGCTCTGTCACCCAGGCTTGAGTGCAGTGGTGTAATCACAGCTCACTTCAGCCTTGACCTCCTGGGTTCAGGAGATCCTTCCACCTTAGCCTCCTGAGTAGCTGGGACTACAGGTGCCCGCCACCATGCCCGGCTAATTTTTGTGTTTTTTCTAGAGACAGTGTTTTGCCATGTTGCTGAGGATGGTCTTGAACTCCTGGGCTCAAGCAATCCACCCATCTTGGCCTCCCAAAGTGCCAGGATTACAGGCGTAAGCCACTGCACCCAGCCCCCATCTCTATTTAAATACAGAAAAAGAAAACCTAGAGGTGGAAGAGAATTGTCATTTTCTTTTTCTAACAAATAATTATCAATTCCTGTTACATGCCAGGCTCTCTCATAGGCATTATGTATTCAAAAATAAATGCAAAAAGGACCTTCATTTGTCAACAGACAATTAAATACATTCCAACAATTGCTGTATTGGCGATAAGTTCAAGGTACTCCGGAGGTGACTGGAGGACCATAACAGTAGATGTGATGGTGGAAAATTCGGTGCTGTTACAGAATGGCTTGTTATTATTTTGTTGCAATTTGGGTAATTATAGTGAGCCTTACTAATATTTCTGAGGTGGCCGTTGCAGGAAGGCACTCCCTGGATACAACAGAAAATAAAATAATACTTGTCTCTCATTTTGCAAAAGAATGGTCCACCCCAGAGCTCAAGGGCTGTACCCAACTCATGGTCCCACACCCTCGGCCCAGAGCTCTGGAAATCTCCAGAAGAAATGTGGAAGGAATGTGAACACCCTTTCCCAGGGGAAGCCCATTCCCCCGATGGCCATCCTGGCTCTTACTCACTCTGTCGGTTGCCCCTCCATGCCCACAGATTGTCACAAGTCCTGCTTGACCTGCTCATCGTCTGGGACCTGCACCGCCTGTCAGAAAGGCCTGAGGATGAACCCTCATGGGAGCTGCCTGGCCAACAAGAAATGTGCCCCCTCCGAGTACTGGGATGAGGATGCTCCCGGGTGCAAGCCCTGCCACACTAAGTGCTTCCACTGCACGGGGCCGGCGGAGGACCAGTGTCAAACATGCCCCAGGGTCAGCCTTCTTCTCAGTGAGTTACTTCTCCTCCGAGGAGGGCTTTGTGTTTCCCTCCCTCTGGGAAACTGCCTTGCACACTGCCTTCTTTCTTTTTGATTTTTTGCTTTGTGTTTGGGAAATGTTCCAACCTACTGAAAAGATGCAAGAGTAAGAACTGTACAAAGAACAGCACACGGATGTGCTTCATCCAGTTCGCAAATTGCTCATCTTCTACCCCATTTGCTTTATCATTTGTTTGCGGGCTCTCTCCCCTTCTCGCTCGTTCTCTCTCTCTCACTCTCTTTCTCTCACTCTCTCAATGTATACATGTACCTCATTCCCAATATATATTTTTCAAAGCCATTTGAAGGCATACATCATGGCCCCTTTCCCATAAATATTTCCTCAGATTAGTGATAGTTTCTTACATAACCACAGGATAGTTATCAACTCTAATAAATTGTACCTTCATACGATACTTGAATATACTATCCACATTAAAATTTTCTCAATGCCCCTTTAGGATTCAGTCTGGAGTCCATTGTTTCATGTAGCTTCCATGTCCCGTTTTGTTTGTTTGTTTGTTGTTTGTTGGGAAGGAGTCTCACTCTGTTGCTCAGAGTGGAGTACAGTGGTATGATCTTGGCTCACTGCAACCTCTGACTCTTGGGTTCAAGCAATTCTCATGCCTCAGTCTCCTGAGTAGCTGGGATCACAAGTGGGCACCACCGCGCCTGGCTAATTTTTTTTTTTTTTCCCGTGTTTTTGGTAGAGATGGGGCTTCACCATGTTGGCCAGACTGGTCTTGAACTCCTGGCCTCAAGCAGTCTACGCTCCTCAGCCTCCCAAAGTGCTGGGATTACAGGTGTGAGCCACCACGCCCAGCCACATTTTTGTTTGTTTGTTTTTGTTTTTTGTTTTAAGAGACAAGGTGGCCAGGCGCAGTACCCAGGCTGCTGGAGTGCAGTGGCATGATCATGGCTCACTGCAGCCTTGAACTCCTGGGCTCAAGAGATCCTCCTGCACTTTGGGAGGCCAAGGCGGGCAGATCACGAGGTCAGGAGATTAAGACCATCCTGGGTAACACGATGAAACCCCGTCTCTACTAAAAAAAAAAAATACAAAAAAATTAGCTGGGCGTGGTAGTCCCAGCCACTCGGAAGGCTGAGGCAGAAGAATGGTGTGAACCTGCGAGGCGGAGCTTGCAGTGAGCCAAGATTGCGCCACTGCACTCAGCCTAGGTGACAGAGCAAGACTCCGTCTCAAAAAAAAAAAAAAAAAAAGAGATCCTCCTGCCTCAGTCTCCCAAGTAGATGGGATGGGATCACAGACATGAGCCACCATGCCTGGTCCTTCCATGTCATGTCCAGCTAATTTTTTTTTTCTCTTTTTAGAGACAAGGGTCTCACTGTGTTCCCCAAGCTGGTCTCGAATTCCTGGGCTCTAGCTATTCTCCTGCCTCAACCTCCCAAAGTGCTGGGATTACAGGCATGAACCACTATGCCAGGCCCTTCCATGTCCCTTTAGCCTCCTTTAATCTGGAATGTTTCCACAGACTTTCTTTTTCTTTTACAATATCAACGCTTTAGAAAAATACAGTCTTGGCCAGGTGCAGTGGCTCACTCCTGTAATCCCAGCACTTTGGGAGGCCGAGGCAGGCAGATCATGAGGTCAGGAGTTCAAGACCAGCCTGACCAACATGGTGAAACTCTGTCTCTACTAAAAATACAAAAAAATTAGCCTGGCTCGGGAGTGGGCAGTGGTAGTCCCAGCCACTCGGAAGGCTGAGGCAGAAGAATGGTGTGAACCTGCGAGGCGGAGCTTGCAGTGAGCCAAGATTGCGCCACTGCACTCAGCCTAGGTGACAGAGCAAGACTCCGTCTCAAAAAAAAAAAAAAAAAGAGATCCTCCTGCCTCAGTCTCCCAAGTAGATGGGATGGGATCACAGACATGAGCCACCATGCCTGGTCCTTCCATGTCATGTCCAGCTAATTTTTTTTTTCTCTTTTTAGAGACAAGGGTCTCACTGTGTTCCCCAAGCTGGTCTCGAATTCCTGGGCTCTAGCTATTCTCCTGCCTCAACCTCCCAAAGTGCTGGGATTACAGGCATGAACCACTATGCCAGGCCCTTCCATGTCCCTTTAGCCTCCTTTAATCTGGAATGTTTCCACAGACTTTCTTTTTCTTTTACAATATCAACGCTTTAGAAAAATACAGTCTTGGCCAGGTGCAGTGGCTCACTCCTGTAATCCCAGCACTTTGGGAGGTCAAGGCAGGAGGATTGCTTGAGTCCAGGAGTTCAAGGCCAGTCTACGCAACATAGTGAGACTTCATCTTTACAAAAAAATGGAAAAAAAAATAAAAATTTTAAATTTTAAAAGTTTAAACATTAATAAAAGAAAAATGTTTTAAAGACATGTGTGGCAAGTTTCTCCTCTTCATATTGAGGGAGGACACCATCCCCCCGCTAAGACACAGGGAGGCCTATTCTCAATACCATTCCTGATCCCTTCACAATAGAAAACACTCAGAGAGACCAGTCTTCTCTATCCATCTACCTTAGCTCCTGGCCCACAAATCTCTGTGGCTCTCCTTCCCAGCAGCTGCTACTTCATAAAAGCATTCCCTCCAGGCACGTCTTCCCCGTAATCCCATGGGAAGATTCCCAAAACCTTCTTTTCTACTTACCTCCAGTCTAGAGCGCCACCAGTAATCATCTCAGACGCCTCATACAGAGAAGACACCTTGCCTCCACAAAGTGGCCTTCCCCTCATCCGAGGCTGCAGATCAGACTAGAGCTGAGGCTTCAGCGCTGGTGTAGGACACAGAGGTGTAGTCTCCCTGGGGGTGGGTGCAGATTTGCTCAGCCTGGTCTCCTCACATTCTCTCCACCCTGTCCCACACCACCACACCACCACACCACCAAGGTCAGGCTATTTATAAATTCGATCCTTTTTTTTGGACATTAGGCTAGACTGAATAATGGCCCCCCTGAAGATGTCACATCCTAATCCCAGATCCTGTAAACGTATTACTCTATTTGGTAAAAGGGACTTTGGGGCTGTGATTTAATTAAGGATCTCAGCGTAGAGAGATTATCCTGCATTATCCACGTAGACCCAATGCCATCACAAGGGTCTGATAAGAGAGATGCCGGGGGATCAGAGTCAGTAGTAGAAGGTGATGTGATCAGAAGCAGAGGGACAGAGAGAAGCTACTGCACTGCTGCCTTTGAAGACGGAGGAAGGGGCCATGAGCCAAGGCATGCAGGTGGACTTTAGCAGGTGGAAAAGGAAAGGAAACAGATTCCCTCCTAGAGCCTCTAAAAGGAACAGAGCCCTGTGGATCTATTTTGGACTTCTGACCTCCAGAACAGTAAGATAATAAATTATTGTTTCAAGCCCCCAAGTTTGGGATACTTGGTAAGAACAGCAATAAGAGACTAATACAGAGATGTTTTTTCTTTAGGAAGCTAGGACTTCCCCTAGTTAACCAGATACATGAGCGGGACTATGAGTCGTTGCCAACATCCACAGTCGCTGGACCTTAGTTTCTGTTCTACCCACCTCGGCTAATCCACTGAGAGATTTGGGTGGGACACAGATGAGATTTGGATCTCTGATGAGTTGAGATGGGATCACTGATGGGATATGGGTGGGACACAGAGCAAAACCACATCACTGACTTCTGTTTTCCTTGTATTCCTCATGGTCTTAGGGTGATTCTGTTTCTTGGACACTCATCTTAGTTCCCAAACATATCCGTCAGCTCACAGGGACATCGTCCCATTCTTCCTGCAGCCCTCTCCTCCCTCCCACCATGGTACACAGGAGGGAGAACACAGGGGAGACATGTGTCATGCTCAATGTCCAAAGAGACATTTTTCCTCCCATGACAGACACAACCTGTGTGAAGGACTGCCCAGAGGGCTATTATGCTGATGAGGACAGCCACCAGTGTGCCCGCTGCCACAGCTCTTGCAGGACATGTGAAGGGAGACACAGCAGGCAGTGCCACTCCTGCCGACCAGGCTGGTTCCAGCTGGGAAAAGAGTGCCTGCTCCAGTGCAGGGAAGGGTAAGTGCTCAATACATTTCCCCCTCGCCCCATGTAATTCCACAGTCACACCAGATATCAACCCATTTTACAAAGGAGGAAACTAAGATTCAGAACACTTATAAAACCAGGTTGAAGTCTCAGTGCTAGTAAGGAGCAAAGATGAACCAATTCACAATAACAGAAGAGAAACAGGAGAGGCTGTTACTCTTGTGATCCCGTGAGTTATCACAAAGGGTCAGATTGTCAAGCCAGACTCACCTGAGCAATTGATCTTCCTCAGCAACAGTCCTCACTGATGATTCAAAGCATATTGGCAGCTGGGCACTGTGGCTCATGTCTGTAATCCCAACGACATGGGAGGTTGAGGCTGGAGGATCACTTAAGGCAAGGAGTTTGAACCAGCCTGGGCAACACAGTGAGACCTCGTCTGTAAAATATTAAGATACGATTAGCTGGGCGTGGTGCCGTGAGGCTATAGTCCCAGCTTCTATGGAAGCTGAGGCGGGGCATGATCACTTGAGCCCAGGAGTTGGAGGCTGCAGTAAGCTATGATTGCCCCACGGCACTCCAGTCTCAGTGACAGAGCAAGACCTTGTTTCTAAAAATTAAAACAATTTGGCAAAGGGTCTCAGTAATCACAAGGCAGAAGCAAAGCGTCCTTTCCTCAGAGAAGCCCAAGACCATTAATGGAGGTTCTATTTCTTCGGCTTCAGGACTTGTTCTGATTCAGATTTAAAATTCAGGGTCTCACGTTCTCCCAACCTGCTTATGTGAGGAGAGCAGTGCATGCGGAACATTGATTTACAAAGGAAATAGCTCCATTAACATCTCCATTTATTCCCCATTAATTCCCCAGCCTGTCATGTCCCCCATAAATCCACAAATTACAGGTCTTGTTATCATAAACAACCTAGACACACACTTGATGTATCCCTCTAAAAGCATTTCACGGATAAGGACTCTATTATTTTTCTGCCAGGAAGAACAGTTAGCGTTATCCAAAGGTCTGATTGCCAGGATATCCTTTTTTTCCCCCAGGCATCCCCAGTAAAGAGTAAAAGATTGATGATAGGCCTGTTGCTGACTCTTTCTACCCAATCAATAACCTAGAGCACTGGGAGTTTCCAGACCCAAATCAAGGGCTGTGACCTTAGACCTTCCTCAAATGCTTTCACCCAAATTGACACGTCTCTTCAGTCCTATAGCAGTTACTGCTTGTTTCATTCATTTCAGTGCTATATGCTGCCTTGCATTTTGATTTATCTCATTCATTCACTTATTTATTTAACACATCTCATGACGAGCACTTTTTATATATAAATAAGATGAGTAAGAGAAAGATTGACCATGTTAGTTTGTTTTCACGCGGCTGATAAAGACATACCCAAGACCGGGCAATTTATAAACGGAAGAGGTTTAATTCAACTTACAGTTCCACGTGGATGGGAAGGCCTCACAATCATGGCGGAAGGCAAGTAGGAGTAAGTCACATCTTATGTGGATAGCAGCAGGCAAAGAGAGAGAATGAGAGCCAGGTGAAACTGGTTTCTCCTTATCAAACCATCAGATCTCGTAAGACTTATTCACAACCACAATAACAGCATGCGGGAAACCGCCCCCACAATCCAGTCATCTCCCACTGGGTCCCTCCCACAACACGTGGGAATTATGGGAGTACAATTCAAGCTGAGATTTGGACACAGAGCCAAACCATATCACTGACTTTAAGAGTTTATTCTTATTTTTATATGCCTCTTCCCAAGAAAATCATAAACTCATGGAAGAAAAACACTTCTTATGTCTTACATCTGCTTCTACAACACTCAGCACAGAGCCACACATTAGCAGCTCTTGAAAAACACCAGCCAGGCCGGGCATGGTGGCTCACGCCTATAATCCCAGCACTTTGGGAGGCCAAGGTGGGCAGATCACAAGGTTAGGAGTTCAAGACCAGCCTGGCCAACAGGGTGAAACCCCATCTCTACTAAAAATACAAAAACTAGCCAGGCATGGTGGCGTGTGCCTGTAATCCCAGCTACTTGGGTGGCTGAGGCAGGAGAATTGCTTGAACTCAGGAGGAGGAGGTTGCAGTGAGCCAAGATCATACCACTGCACTCAAGCCTGGGTGACAGAGCAAGACTCTGTCTCAGAAAGAAAAATACCAGCCATATAGATCAAGGAAGAAAGGGCCCTGCCAGATTAAGAACAGAGATGGATGGACAGGCATGGTGGCTCATGCCTGTAATTCCAGCACTTTCCGGGGCTGAGGTGGGCAGATCACTTGAGGCCAGGAGTTCAAGACCAGCCTTGCCAACATGATGAGACCCTGTCTCTACTAACAATACAAAAATTAGCAGGGTGTGTTGGCAGGCGCCTGTGATCCCAGCTACTCGGGAATCTGAGGCATGAGAATTGCTTAAACCTGGAGGCAAAGGTTTCAGTGAGCCAAGATCGTACCACTGCACTCCAGCCTGGGCAAGAGAAAAAGACTCTGTCAAAAAAAAAAAAAAAAAAAAAAAAACAGGGATGAAGCTACCTGGCTTAGCCCTTCTGCATCACCCTAGTAAGTGTCTGAAAAGATCTGGAGCCTATCTTCCTCAAATCAAGTCAGTAAATACTCTCAAGCACAAAAAGGGTGCTTAATCATCCTGTCATCTAGGTAGAATGCAGACCATGGAATTAAGAAGACAGTTGTTCCACGGTGTGTGAACCCAGGGCTGGTGAGGGGAGGCACAGGTTGCCATAGATCCCTTTAATAAAGAAGAAATTGAATATTCATGAGGTATAAGAGGAGAACTCTTCCTTTAGTAAAATCAGTGTTCCACATGCTTGGCATAAGCCTCGTTATGTTAAATCTCTGCCTTGGAAAAGTAGATATATACTTCTCTGAATCCTATCCCAACCCACATAATTATTTTGGTGTTTAACTCAGAGAAGTTTCTTTAAAGCCTAGGTTACTGCTTATGCTTATGCTCTTCGAAGCTGGGAAACTGATGAGTCCTCAAAGCAAGCAGTGGTGTTGTACTCTTTTAGTCTGGTCCAATAAACTCTTTGTTGTCTCTTTTAGCATTCCTCCTTGATAATTTAAAAAACCTACTTAAAATTGATAAGCTTTCTTTCCCACAGTTCCTACTGATGATTTTCATCTTTATAACAATCTACAATAAAAACATTAGGTAAAAAAAACTTTCGTATGCTGCTTAAGAGTTACAAAGTATTTCCACTCACAATGTATCTTTACATTATGATTTGATTCTACAACAATCTCATGAGGTTGCTTTTAGTCTCTCCATTTTACAGATGAAGAAACTGAGGCTCAGAGGGGTTAAGTGACTTGCCTAAAGTCATGGAGCTACTAATACATGGCGGAGCCAGGAGTAAAAATTCAATCTTCTGACTCTAATCCTGTGTATTCCCTCTGCTCTGTGTACATTTCACTTTTCTCTGATGGTTTCTTTTCTTGAGTCTTATGTGTGCTTTGTCAGCCATTCAGCTCATCATCGCTTTGTCTCTCAGATACCTCAGTCTTCCAGATTGACACATAGTAGTCATTGTTCTTCACATAACTGCAGAAAGTGAAGCAGGTCTCCAGTTACCACAAGCCGGGCCACTGAGGTTCCAATGTGCTCCCTCAGATCAGTGACGGGTGGCTAAATAGAGCAAGGCTCAGCATAACCTAGGCATGGTGTGAGTTCTCAGCAAGTTCACGGAGCTGAATCAGTCTACAAAAAAAGCCTATTGGGACCTGTAGTGTTGCACCAGAGAAAACAAAGATAAACCTTTAGGTTTCTAGGATAGGTTTAGTGGTGCTGATGTCTAGAGATACAGAGATGAATCCGATGACCGTTAGAAGCTCATCCTTAGCAAGAATTTTGTTACCCTCTTCTGTCTTGCTTGCAAACCTTTGTTTACCTTCAATTAATGAACTATTTTGTTACAGCGTTTAACAGTTAAGTGCAAATCATATTGTCCCACTTCACTAACTGACTTTAAGCAAGTTGTCTAAATTCTCTAAGCCTCAATGTTTGCTTCTGTAAAATAAGGATAGTAATACCTAAATCATAAGATTTGCTATGAGGATAAATCACACAATTTATAATTATCACTAATGTACATTAATTATTTATAAAGTGCCCATCATGGTCCCCACCCCTTTCTCAGTAATCACATGTTTAATTGTAGGTACTAACATTAGCCGCATCTTATAGATGAGAAACCTGAGGCACAGAGATGTTGAGTGACTGGCCCAAGGTCACACAGCTTGTAAGTGGTATGGCTGGGATTTAAAACTAGTCTTGTTCCCGAGGGCAAGTGGTAACTTCCACACTCTAGGGTCTCATTTGCAGATTCAACAAGGTGAAATAATGTTTATGAAGTCCCTGGAATACTATCAGGCATATTAGTAGAAGCTTAATGAATAGTGGTTATAGTTATTATATTTAACCTCCAAAAATCTTTTCAAACAAGGTTATATCTGTTATGTAAATGTCAATATCACACTTGTCACCTCCTATTTCAAAATCTGTTTTTTAGTTGACAAATTAGAAGAATAATTCAGAGGTACGTTTATTTTATTTATGTTATCTTTTATTTTATTTTATTTATGACAGTCTCACTCTGTCACCCAGACTAGAGTGCAGTGGTGTGCTCTCAGCTCACTCTCCTGTGTTCAAACGATTCTCATGCATCAGTCACCCAAGTAGCTGGGACTACACACCACATCTGGCTATTTTTGTTTGTTTGTTTGTGTTTGTAGTAGAGATGAGGTTTCACCATGTTGATTCACCAGGCTGGTCTCGAACTCCTAACCTCAAGCCATCCTCTCATCTTGGCCTCCCAAAGTGCTGGGATTACAGGTGTGAGCCACTGTGCCTGGCCAGATGGATCTCTTTTTTTGAGACGGAGTCTCACATTATCGCCTAGGCTGGAGTACAGTGGCATGATCTCAGCTCACTGCAATCTCCACCGCCCAGGTTCAAGTGATTCTCCTGCATCAACCTCCCAAGTAGCGGGGATTACAGGCACATGCTACCACATCTGGATAATTTTTGTACTTTTAGTAGAGACAGGGTTTCACCATGTTGGCCAGGCTGGTCTCAAACTTCTGACCTCAAGTGATCCAACCATGTTGGCCTCCCAAAGTGCTATAATTACAGGTGTGAGCCACTGCACCCAGCCTGGATGGATTTTTTAAATGTACCTCTCAATGGCCAGGCCAACATAGTGAGACACCCATCACTATTTAAAAAAAAAAAAAATTTGTTTTAATCCTTCCATTCTCTGATGCCAGCCATTAACCACAACTTAAAGCATGAATTTGGAGAGGCACATGGTAGAAAAAGGCAATGGTAGCTAGCAACAATGGAGATGCTACTAGGTGTAACAAGCACTAGGTCTTTTCATATGTGTTAGTTACCCAGTTTAACTTTCACAAATAATGGGGGAGGGATTGGCCCAATGTACAGGTAAGAACACTGGGAATCATTGGATTCATTAGTGTTATTAGCAATTAATCTAATGAGTAAGGTAAAGAGGCTAAAGTCACCCAGCTTGTAAATGAAACCTGACTACCACGTTTTTCCACTGCACCCAATTTACGATCTAAGCTTGGTATTCCATCGTTTCTTCTCCCTCGGTTTCAGGTATTACGCAGACAACTCCACCGGCCGGTGTGAGAGGTGCCACAGGATCTGCAAGGGGTGCCGGGGCCCACGGCCCACAGACTGCCTGTCTTGCGATAGATTTTTCTTTCTGCTCCGCTCCAAAGGAGAGTGTCATCCCTCCTGCCCAGACCATTACTATGTAGAGCAAAGCACACAGACCTGTGAGAGATGCCATCCGACTTGTGATCAATGCAAAGGTGAGAGTCTGTCATTTTGCATGTGTGCGTAGAAAAATGAAAAGGTTTTCTTCTTTCTTTGCCCCTTTCTCTCTTCTCACCACCTGGGAGATTCCTCTTGCTTCCCTACCTCGTGTATGATCCTCTCCAGCATCAGCGCCCTCTGTTTGCTCTTAACTTCTGCCTCTTCCTTCTAACCTGGGCTGTTCCTGCCCATCCGCCATCCTTCAAGGCCCAGAGACAGGCATCATCTCCTTGAGGAAGCACTGTTCGTCCACTCATCATTTTCCTGTTCTACCTGATGAATCTGTCTGGGGGGATTTGTTTATTTTCATTGCTTGCACTATTCCCTGAGACTTCTGCCTCAAATTCTCGTAAGTTCCATACCTCTTTTACAGAAACTTGGTTGTCTGTCCAAGAGATCCTTAAGGCTCACCATCTACCCACGAGCCCAGGCTGATACTTTGAAGTTCTCCTCAACTCTTCTTCCCTTGTCACCTGCCCAACCCACCCACCTCCAACAAAGCTAAACTTCAAGATCTGTTGATTCTCTTTCCCAAATAGTTATCTAACAAGATCTTTTTCCATTCTCCCTACCCTCATCTTCCATTTTTAGTATCTAGTATCACACCTTTTGAAGCAGCCAGCAGGTCACCCCAACTCTGAATCTTGCCCCCACGCCAGGTCATCTGGTATACTAATGCCAGAGTGAGTGCCCTAAAATTCAAATTTCTCATTTTTCTCTACACCTTGCCATAAATATGTGATCACCATGAACGCTTCTCAATATTTAAGAAAGAAATACTTCTATGTTTTAATTGTTAAAACTTTCTACAAAAAATATTATTAGCTGGTAGGATGCATACCTGTGCTTTTCAACATTATCTTGGCTATGCTTAGTTCTTTTATGTAAATACGTAATCAGTCAAGTTTCATTTTTTAAAAATCTTTCATTTTTAAAAAGTATTTTGATATTGAGTGGCATTGCATTGAATTTATTTTGGAGAAAACCCCATCTTTACAATCCTGAGTTATATTTATGAATGTGGTATATCTCTCCATTCTATGCATTTACTTATTACACTTCAGTAAAGTTTTAATAAGTGTTTTTTTGTTTGTTTGTTTGTTTGTTTTTTGAGATGGAGTATCGCTCTGTCGCCCAGGCTGGAGTGCAGTGGCATGATCTCAGCTCACTGCAACCTCTGCCTCCCAGGATCAAGCGATTCTCCTGCCTCAGCCTCCTGAGTAGCTGGGATTACAGACTCACACCACCATGCCCGGCTAATTTTTGTATTTTTAGTAGAGACAGGGTTTCACTATGTTGGTCAGGCTGGTCTCGAATTCCTGACATCATGATCCGCCCGCCTTGACCTCCCAAAGTGCTGGGATTACAGGTGTGAGCCACTGCACCTGGCCAATAAATATTTTTATATTTAAAAGGTGATTCAGATTTTCCCAGCAGTTCCCTTAACTTATGCCTTAAGGACTCTTCTTCCATATATTCTAGAAGCTAGAACTACCCAGAACCACTCAGCACCCACCAAATGTGCCAGGCTCTTTCATGCCTTTATTGACTCAATGCTCTAGGGAACCCTCTATTAAAGATTCAGCTTGAGTATCATCTCATCTCCTCCATGGAGCTTTTGTTAGTCCTCCCAGGAGTATTCTTCCTCCTTCTTAATTCTGTAATACACTGCTTTATCATAGAAATTTTACATTACATTGTAATTAAACAAGTTCACCCCTCCTACTGATTGTGAGCCCCTCAAGCAAAGGCAAGGATTATACTACATTCATTGTGTATCCCTTGTTTCTACTCTGGAGTGTAAAACATAAGTTTTCATTAAGCGTTTGTTCACTGAATGGATGACTGTATAGGAAACAAATTCCTAATGTCTTTTTGCAAGTTAAAAAGTGTTCAACTATAAGATCTTCAAATAGCCAGGCGCGGTGGCTCACGCCTGTAATCCCAGCACTTTGGGAGGCTGAGGTGGGCGGATCACCTGAGGTCAGGAGTTCAAGACCAGCCTGACCA